TAGCTCAATTCAGCTGTTCTGAAACCGAAAGCTCAGAGTTTCCCATTTCAGAGCAAGTCAACCCAGAGTTCAAGTTTTAACTCAGAGTTGGTTGAACCTCCTTATTGAACACGGGCCCCGGATGTCAGTAACAACCCAAGTAATCCATACATACAAAGTAAACAAAACAAATAAGTTCAGAAATGAAGTTGCGTGTAATAAAGTAGAATGACACAGGGGAAAAAAGTATTGAACGCATGAAGAAAGGAAGGTGCAAAAAGTCATGGAAAGCCAAGACACCAGCAGAAATCTATTAGAAAGCAGAAAGCAATCCTGCCCCTTGTCAGTGGAAATAATTTTAGCTGGTTCAGTCTCAACTGTTGAAAAGGTGTCCATGAGACCTTCGCAACCTTATTGTTGCAAAACATACTGATGGCATTGATTACAGAAGCATACCTATACTTCTGAATGTTCCAGTGAGCACTGTTGGGGCCATAATCCGGAAGTGGAAAGAACATTATTTCACCATAAACTGGCCATGACCAGGTGCTCCTCGCAAGATTTATGACAGAGCAGTGAAAAAAAAATTATCAGAAGAGTTTTCTAAGAGCCAAGGACCACTTGTGGAGAGCTTCAGAAAGACCTGGAATTAGCAGGTACAATTGTTTCAAAGAAAACAATAAGTAATGCACTCAACCGTAATGAGACACCTTTTTATAGGCCAACAGTTGAGACTGAACCAGCTAATATTATTTCCACTGACAAGGGTCAGTGCTTTCTAATTACTGATAGATTTCTGCTGGTGTCTTGGCTTTCCATGCCTTTTTGCTCCTTCATTTCTTCATGTGTTCAATACTTTTTCCCTGTGTCATTCTACTTTATTACACAGAACTTAATTTCTGAACTTATTTGTTTTGTTTTGTATGTATGGATTACTTGGGTTGTTACCGACATCTGGTGTAAATTTCATGTCAACAGCACCTTTAGGAATATATTTACCGAGAAAAATGGTGACGTGTTCAATACTTATTTTACCCACTGTATATATATATATATATATATATATACACACACACACACATTTAAATGAATACAATATTGTAATATGTTTAAATGAATTATTATATAAAATCATTTTAGACTTTGAGTAGCTTGATGTAAAAACAACAACACTGCTAGTGGAAAAAATGTTTTTTTGTGGAGGCCAGTTTTTTGTGTGATGAAAAACCCAACAGGAAGTGTGTTGAGCAGTGAGTTTGCGTGGGTATCCGTCACAAACGGCATCAAATGCTGCAATACACAGAAAAACATTGCGTGTTATGAAAACATACTTCCAAGTACTGCATGAATATTCATGCACAATCATCTGATGACATTATCATGACGCCTGTCTTGTTTTTTTTTCTAATACAGATAATAATCAGAGCCACGGAGAGAAAGATGAAGAGCCCAAAGCTCCCTCTGAACAAGTCAAAGCCGGACTAAACGTCTGTCCCAGAGACTCGGGCTGTTACATCGGATCTGACTGTTCAGACAACAGTAAAGAGGACACAGAGACCCAGCCGGCCCCTCTCAGCCCACCTGCAACCCAAGCATAACCACAGCCCTGCATAATGCTGTTCATCTCGTCCTCGCCTGCCTCTGGTTGGTGCAAAGACTGTTAGCTGCCGGCCACAACCTTTTTGACTGTGTAAAGCAGCCTTTGTGTTTCAGAGCTGTTGCATTAAGGTGTCTCTGACGACACTGGAGTCATGGACACTGTGAGAAGTAGTTACAGATATGAAAGATGACATGTAAATATACTGTAAATATGGTGAAAGTGGTGAAGCTTTGCTCTTGTAAACCGTTTCAGCTTTGCCTTGCAGATGCTAGACAAAACGACAAACTATTGAGATTACAAATGCATTATTTTCATGCAATAAAAAGATATCTTTATATCGTACTAATTTCATTTGTTACATATGTCAGTCATATTAATATAGCGATATTTACTGGTACAGATGGGGCTTATGTCAGTGGCTTCCTGAAACTAAAAGTGATGAGATCGGTAACACTCGGTAATAACGTGCTGCCATCTAGTGTGAGTACTTACTAACTACTGCCATAAACAATAAGCAAACTCCATCTTTTACATGAAAGATGCGAATGTAACTCAAAATTGTTGAAAAACGTTTGGCAAAATATAATCTTAAGTCTTAAAAATAACAGGTAATACTTTATAATAACATTAACAAATATAACAATTGTTTATTAATCATTAGTTAACGCACATTCAAATATTTAAAGTTCATCGAGTTGATTTTTTAATATGCATGAACTACAGCCTTTTTAAAATGATTATACACTACCGTTCAAAGTTTTGGGGTCAGTAGGATTTATTCAAATGTTTTTACATCTCTTATGTTCACCAACATTGCATTTATTTAATCAAAAATACAGTACAAACAGTAATATTGTGAAATATTACTGCAATTTAAAAGAACTATTTTCTATTGTAATATATTTATATATTATATATTTGATATCTATTTTCCTATATATTTTAAAACTGTTGGGCTGCTTAATATTTTCCCTCAGATAAAAATCTAGTTCCTTTCCACTCAAGTGTCTGATAACTTTAGTGACATTAAAATTGAAAACAAAACAAAGATGAGATCAAATACATTTAAATGTTTTTTTTTAAATAAAAAGTCAAGTTTGATCAATTTAAAGCATCCTTGCTGAATAAAAGTATTAAAATCTCACTGACCCCATGAGCCATTTATATCAATTTGTTCTGCTTGTGAATAAATATAGCCAATGTGTTACCCATACAATAAAAACCTGTGATGTTTTGAATTACCATAAGTATCATTCTGAGAGACTAAAAAAATAGGCCTGTCTACTGCAGCACAGGATGAACTGAGCCAGTTTGTGCACAAAAGTGGCTCAATTTTCCTGACTTCACTTGATATACTGCTTCATTTCCAGTAATAATTCCCTTCAAAACCCATTTGAACACCTCGTGAAAAACACTCTTGACGCAATTCAGAGATTTCATTAAAAAATAAATCACTTAAAAAGACATCGATACAGCAATGTAAATGAAAACTGATCTTAATCTAGTGCAATGAGATACGAATCACCAGCAAGCAAATCACGTTACAAAAATAAAATAAATAATCATATCAGCCTACAGCCAAGCTTTACAAGGGCTAGCTTGAGGTTAAAAAAACCATCTCTGAACCTTTGATTTCTGCATGCTTTTAACATTAAATCCATTCATCTTCAGTCTGTTCTTCACAAACATTAATAATAGGACACCTTTATTACCTGCTTTCATCAGATTGGACTCTAAACTTTACAGTGTACAATAAGCCAGCTCCATTTTAAATACGGTTCGATGCAGAAAAAATACATAAGTACGTAAGGCATCAAAGCAGAACACTGAATCAGTGGCATACAGTCCCAGAGTGTCCGTGAACCAACAAAAACCATTCAAAATAATCCACTGGAGATGAAAAAGCAACTCAGGCTAAATGAATGATTTTGAGCTCGAGATGTTCGAACCATAAAATGGATTCAAGTCGTCACTAAAGTTTGCTTGCATGACGTGCGGGCATCATGATGTCATCGCGTGCATAAGCGTCCAGACCGTTTCCTGTGTACACGGACAGCTCATCTGTGCTCCCGACACCGTTGCTGATCTCTGAAACCAGCACAAAACTCATTAGCCAGAGTTTCACGGGGCAGATTTCTCCACTAGGGGGCACTTTTTTCTGAATCACTAGCTGAATCATCTTAACATTATTTTAAAACATTTTGGTTGGCTTCAATCATATAATGTTTCACTGGAGCTGTAATAACTCCAGTAAACTCTAAGATATTACTAATATTGATATGAAATATTAATAATATTTGTGCATAATATTAGTAATATTTGTTACACTTATAAAAATGTTTGAAAGCAACACACACACATACATATATATATATATATATATATATATATATATACACACTGTATGTGTGTGTATATATATATATATATATGTGTGTGTGTGTGTGTGTGTGTGTTGTTCTGTAATTTGTAAATTTATATATTTATATGGCAAACCTCCACATATAAGTCATATATACATATGCATTAATTTTTGATATATACAGTATATATATATATATACACACACACATATACATGAATTAATTTAATCTTTAATTAATATTTATTCACATGCATTTACATTTTTTTTATTTCTGCACAAGCCAAATGTTGTCATTGAATTAATATTTATATATAAATTAATTACGGTATATTTATATATTTATTTATAAATCATGTTATCATATATTTTTATACACAGAGACACACACATTTAATTAATTAAATTACTTTATTAGACAAACCTTCACATTTAAGTCGTATGTATATATATATTTTTGTTATTTTGTTGTTGTTCTTTATATTTCTGCACATGGAAAACTCATGTTTATATATAGATTTATTTTATATATATATATATATATATACACACACACACATTTATTTATATAACATTTTTGAAATAATTTTGTTATAATATTATAAAATATATATTTAAAAAAAAATCACAAAAAAAATGTTTCTTATTTGTTCATGACACCTAATGCATTAACTACTGTTTTATCTTATTGTAAAGTGTTATCATATGCAGATATGAATACAGATATTGATGGTGTATTATGATCACCACCAGGGGGCGATGTACCACAGCCATATGCAGAGGTCACAGAGAGTTAATTTGTTCTGCGGCTTTATTAACCAGGCTTTATCTCCACACAGCTGTGTGCTCACGAGTCTCACCTGAGAAGATCAGTTTCTCCTTCATGAGGCTGACGTCACGACTCGGCTGACGTACTACAGCACTTAGCATGATCTGCTCCGGGTTGTAGCTGCGCATGCCACTCATCTTCCACCTGAGGAAAAAATCACCAAAACACACTTCTGAGGGTCTGAAAGTGCCAAAAAGTTCTGGTCACTAAGTATTAGATCTTGAGATATTTGATGAGAAAGTGAGAGAGAACGCTTAGAAGGGTTAAAAAGGATTGAGGAAAAGAGCGACACTGAGGTAAAAACACACAAGAATGATAATTACTGGAACAAAACACAACCAACAACAAACACAAACAGAAAAAAAACAGAACAAATAAAGACCAAAACAGTCAGAATTCTGTCCCTAAAATACTCATCCTCATTACCTGATCAGGTGATAGCTGAGCAATTTCAGTGAGCAGCGGCGGACAGGCACATGCAAAGAGCAGAGGACAGAGAGATAATGGAGGGAAAGTAGAGAGTGCCAAGAAGAAAAGAGCAGAGCCATCAGTTGAAAAGCACCCGGCCGCCCAGCAGAGATATAGCAAGCATGCTAACTACAAAACAACCTAACATTAACGCCAAGGACTGCTCTGAAAATCAAATAGGCTTTCGTGCAAATGTGTGCAATTAAAGCCATTAACTGACACAGCAAAAAAAGCTTCCAGAATTAACAAGTATTAAGAAACAGCTCGAAGGACATACTAAAAGAGATTCACTTACTTCTGAAATATGAAGATGCCAATGACAGTCGCCACAGAGATTAAATCTGAAGTGATCCATATCAGGCCATATTCATCTGCACTCTACAAACCGTTAAAGCAGCATTTAGCCATTAGATATCAATGTAAATACATTAAAAAAAGCAAATGAGGGGAAAATAATACAGGCAGAATCCCAATAAAATAAAATTGCAATATATAAAAAATTATATATACTATAGATAGATAGATCTCTAATGTGTCTAAATATTCAGCCTTCAGTACTATTTCCAGGGAAGTATTCCAAAGCTTTTTGGCGCTAATTTTGTCCACAAACTCTTGCACTACAGATTTTTCTGATGCAAATGTATGCAACCATTTGCAACATTATTTCTCAAAACTGATCTTGCAACATATGTAAAGCATGCCAATTTAACATCTACAGTATTCTGTGGAACGGATGTTAAAATGTGTTAAACAGGGCCAAGATTCACTACATCCTCCTTGAAAGCTGACAGCATAATCAAATGAACCATTAAATGAACATCCGGCCAATGTGTAGGACATGAATGACAAGCGTTCCAAATCTGTGGGAAACTGGCCTGCTTTTGAGTGTGTACTTGAGCGTGGCCAGCAGAGTATGTACTTTTCGTACGTAATAGGAGTGTGTGAACTGGGATTCAGCCAGAGAGAGATCAGTACCATGATCCAGATAGGATTAGGCACTTTCTTCAGGATGTGTGGGGCATCAGAAGAGACGGACTGAACCCCGCTGCACCACATGAGCGAATACAGCCACGGCTCGTTCACCGGATACACGTTCACACTCACATTACTGCCAGAAAACTGCCTGCTCACAACACACACATACACAGAGAGGAAGCTTGCTTGGTAAAAGTATTGCAGAACAAAACCCATTGCCTACTTTCATATAAATGAAACAATTAAATTGATGATAAAATATATGTATGTATGTATGCATGCATGTATAAATTTAAACTTCACACATTAAAATATATATTATATATAATTCTAAATGCATTGTAATATATCATAGTAATAAAAAATATCAATAAACAATTAGTTCTCAAAACATTACAAAGACCCATAAATGATCTAAATACATCTATTAAAATTGATAAAATATTTTAATTTTACATTTTCATATTTTAAATAACTGTATGCCATATGATAACTCCATATTAACATTTTAACATACTATGATTTTACCGTAATAGCAATAGCTGTATGGTTATGATGTTGTATTTCAATGCAAAATGCTTTCAGTATGCCATTTAATACAGACTGAGAAAGGCAGATGTCTGCTGACGTTCTGAATGTGTGTGTGTGTGTGTGTACCTGATATCCTGAGCCCTGGCCTGGCTGTAGTGCAGGGTCAGAGTACTGATCCCTCTTTCTTTCAGCTCAGCCACAGGAAGTTTCTCATCTGACGTCTGCTGAAGGAGAGGAACCGCTGCACGCACCTTCTTCCTGTACCAGTCAGGAGTCCACATCACCTATACACACACACACACACACACACAGAGAGAGAGAGAGAAGCGAATTAAGCACTTTTCATATTTTTTCTGAACATTAATACTGAATATTAAGACTATTAGACAACATTTCAACTTATTATATAAAACTGGTCAATATTTATTTATTGCTCAATATTTAAAATTTAGAATGAATAAGACATTAGACGAGATTTCTAATTTCTTCAAGTCATATAAAAATAAATACATACATTTTTAAATATATATTTTAGATGAATTCTGAATTTATTGGTTATCTCATAAACTAGCTTAGAAAGACCTTTTCTAATATTATACATTTATTAGGAATATTTTATCAATATTTAAGATGGAGTTAGAAGATTTAGATGGAATAATAGGACATATTTCCGCTAAATATATAAGAATAAATACACACATTTTTAAATATTAAATATTTTAAAAAGCTTTTGAATTTTTGGCACATTAAATAGTTGATAAAGGTCTTAAAACCTTATTAAGAATATTTTTCTCAATATTTTTGATTTAGTCGGAATAAGACATTAAACAACATTTCAACAAATTATATAAAAATATATAAAAAGTATATTATAAATGTAAAATATTTTTAGACGAATTCAGAATTTCTTAGAATAGTTGGGCACATAAAGCAGCTCATGAAGGTTTTTTTCAACTGTTAGAAGCTTATCAAGAATATTTTTCCTCAATATTTCAGATTTAGACTGAATAAAGCATGATAGACAACACTTCAACAAATCTTCACTGTTCAGATGTTGGTTTAAGATGGTCTTTAGACGACAATTTTTTTTTTTAAATCAGAGGCTTGCTAAGTGTTTAAATGTATGTTGTGTGTGTTTTGTGCTCTCACCTGTTCTGGTAGGATGCTGGATCTCTGAATGACCTTCAGTGCATCACTGACCCAGAGCTGGTGTCGGGGGTGTTGAGGTGGAGGTCGCCGCAGGCTGAAGATCACGGAGCGGTTTGTTCTAGCAGCCAGACGCAGCAGCTCCGCGAGGCTACACACCGTCTGATTGGCCGTGCGGTTGCGATCCTTTTCAGACATGTACTGCACCGTCCAGTACGGGTCATCCTGAGGGACAAACAACCTCAAAATCTTTATTAACTGTGAAGATGGACAAAAGAAATAAGGAAGGAATCAAATTTAATACCCTGAGGAACCAAAGTCCAGCATTGAGACTGCGAATCTCTGTCCAGTTAAAGAACGAGGCGTCGTGGTCCTGACGGGCTGGAAACAGTTTGTCCACATTGGTGGTCCTGCGTAGTGTGCGGTCCCTCATCAAAAAGGGCACGCCATCCAGACTAAAGCAAAAAAACAAAACATCCAATCGCATTAGAGTCCAATCGACTTAGAGCTGCTGCCATTCTTTTCTCACATTCAAAAAGATATGATAAAACAAAATAAAATAAAATATAAAATAAATTACTATTAATTCAAAGAGGTATGATAAAATAAATAAATAAACCAGATAAATACCATAAATTAAAAATAAATAAAATAAAATAAAACAGATTATGATTCATTCAGGTATGAGAGGTATGTTTCATAAAGTCATAATACCTGATGGTAACATCTGCTTCCAGGGCAGTGACCTTCTGTTGCAGTGCTTTACTGAAGGACATAATGGTGTGTTCTGGAGCGAGCTGAGAGAGAGAGGAAGAGTGTAATGGGAGTTACTATCTTAACACTCCTTCGAGGAAGTTAAACAAAGCGGTTAAAGCTTCATTGTACAATCAACTTAATGTTTAGACAGAGTGTAAGTGTGGCTCTCTACAGCAGGGACACACGATCCTTCCAGCGCTTTCTAACTGTTGCTAAACTTCAGAGAGAAACCTGGATGCCAAACATCCGCCTGAAAAACCAGGATTATGAAACTCACCATTGGAGCTCCACGACGGCCAATGACAGCAGGACGAGCACCGAGCTTGGACCGGTCCATGATGCAGGTAGAAGAGATGAAGAGGGGAACCAGATACAGAACCAGGAGGATGCTCACATAAATCACCAGCGTCACAACTTGAAGCCCTGGATAAACACACAAACATATGCAAAAAAAAAATAAGTGTCAAAAACCGTCACCACTGTTTAAAAGGTTTGGATCAACAATCTTTTTTTGCACACCTAGGCTGCATTTATTTGTTCAAAAATAAAGTAAAAACACTAATATTGTGAAATATTATTACTATTTAAAAGAACTGTTTTCTATTGTAATATATATTTTAGGATGTAATTTATTTCTGTCACGTGATCCTTCAGAAATCATTCTAATATGCTGATTTGCCACTCAAGAAACATTTCTTATTATTATCAATGTTGATAACAGTTGTGCACTTAATATTTTTGTGGAAACAGAAAAAAATGTTTTTAGTTTTTTTTTTATTAATACAAAGTTCAAAAGAATAGCATTTGTCACACATTTGATAAACTGAATACATCCTCACTGAATAAAAGTATTACTTTCTTTCAAAAACAAACAAGAAAAAAAACTTACTGAAGGGTAGTGCACATATATTTTACAATTACATGCTGTCAAAGTGTAGGGGCCGTCTTAGCTTTGACCCAGTCTGTCTTTTCCCCTCACATGACCTTCAACTCACTTGATCTTTCCATGCGCACCACCTGATTGGCGATGACCCACCCTAATGCTGTGACTGCAGCTAAAGCTCCGATGTGTAGGAACGGCCCTGTGAACTACAACAGCAAAAACATACAATTCATTGAATTACTTGTCAAGAAAGATCTCAAGACACTGGACAGTAATATGCTGATGAGGTTGCTCCAACCTGCAGAGAAATGATGACAATGTCCCATTCGTCCTGCCAGAAATCATCAATGGACACCACTCCTGTTATGGTGGAGAGCAGAATGGCCAGAACTACAATCTGTAGGAAATAAAACTTGTTTTAATATACATTCAGAACTTCAGTCTAGTTCTAGGCTTAAACAGATTTACAAACTCGTCTCACCTTATGGATCCAGTACAAATTAAGCTGCTGTCCCAGTGCAATGTGACAAAGTGCAAGAATCTGAAAAAAGAAATAAAAATACAACAGCAAATTATAAATAAAATAATAATTAAAAATAAAAATAATACATAAAAATAAAAGTAATAAAAAAAGTAACTTTTCTAGAGAAAACCATCAACAGCTCTCATACCAGCAGGGATAAAAAAAACACAAAGCATGCTTTACATACATGAGGCTTTCCAACACTTAGGGCCAGTTTTACTAACAGCTTGTGCCAGCGCAAACTGTCTTTTGGCATTAAAATAGTATTGTCAGGATTTACTAAAGACACACAGTGACGAATTAGCACTGAAAAGGCGTGGACACAGTTATATTTGCACATGACCTTATTGAATATGCATTTGTAGGCAGTGGCGGCTCATCGGGGGAGGCACAGCTTCCCCATAATTTTGAGGTGAAATGGGAGGAGGATGATTTAATGTTAAAAAAATTCACAATTCATTTCAGTTCATGTCTCAGAATGTGTATTTTATGTTTGTAATTTCACAGCTGTAACACCATAACATGTTAATGAAGTTGGAAAGCGCCGCTTTTCTATCGCGAATGTGCCGAATCTGCTGATGTAATTACTACCGCTACGTGATAGAGAAGGGGAGGGGGAGGCCGGGAGAGAGCTGAGCTCTCGTGCCTCCTTTGGCAAAAAAAAATTAGCCAATCACCATCGAATGTTCACTTTCAGCACTGAGGAGTGTTGAGAAAAGAAACCTTGCAAGGGAGGCTAGCCTCCCTTCTGATATCAACCAATCACTGATAATGTACCAAGTACTTATGAGTAGCGATATTGAATATTTGATTGCCAACAGATTTACCAAGCTGTCATTCAAACAGTATATATACAAATTTAAAAAAAGGGAAAACGAGCCTAAGCTGGATATAGGCTACAGCAGTCAGCTTAATTGAATAGCACAACAGGTAGCTCTCTTTTAACACAGACTTTTAAGAAGGGATGAATGTTTGCTTCAAGTGATAGGCCAGGTAAGTGAAATTATATTATCTTGCTCTATGTATGTCGTTTTCTGACTAAACGCAACCAAAAAGCCATTTTAAAGTGGTTAAGCAAATTATAATAATAATAATCGTAAGGGATCCCAGACCAATACAATTAGTGTGCCTCCTCTATTTTAAAACCCACGAGCCGCCACTGGTGCCAGATGACTCAATCACATTCAGCAGCACAAGAGACTTTCCAGAGTTTCTTCTGCTGTTTCTCTCTGACTTTTGACTTCACTGTCAATGAGAACTCTTTCTCTTTTGCGTTTCTTTACCAAATGCATCTCCCACAGTTATCACACACAGGAATCAGAGCTTGCAAAATAAACACAGTTTTTCACTGACCTGCAAAACTGCCCACGCAGATTGAGTCTAATTCTGGGAAAAAAGAAAGTTTATTTACTAGGTTTTATATCTACCACCGCCTCTCAGGTCAGGACAAAGGAGATTGGATTGCACATTGTTGACAATCATTTTTCTGGTTGCCCCTCAAAGATTCTATTTTGAAACTGATGAGATTATATTTCATACAGAGACCGCATAAACACATTTCATTACACCAAATAATGTTCTTTTTAGCAGCATCATATGACCCCTTTAAAACCCACGAGCCGCCACTGTGTAGGAGTTTCTCTTTCAGACGCAAAATTTATGAGAGGAGAGTATTTAAATGAATCGCGCAACACGATTTACTAACATTTGCACTCGTCAAATTGCTGGTATTTGCGTCATTATTTAACGCCCCAACAAAAGCGAATCACTAGGAGTCACACAATACCAGGTCTATCAAAACTTCTTGCAACCCTACCTTTTTTGGCCTCTGGTTCTTTTGAATGTTTTGTGCCTTTATTCTTTATTTGTGATTACGGTAATTTGCGCTGCGCTTGGTATCTTGCGTTGGTCGATATGTAAATTAGGGTGATGTTGCGTCTGTGTTCTTTAATTTGTGCGTTGTTAGTAAATCACCTGCAGAAATTTCCGCAGGTTTTGGAATTGCGCTCTCTCGCTAATTTGTCCGGTTTAGTAAAACTGGCCCTTAGTGTGTAAAATTAATTCAGAAAGTTGTTAAGCAATCCATGTTTGCGAATATAACTAAGAGTAATCCTTGCAATAAAACTAGAAAACTCATAAAACATGCTCTAGCAATGAAATGTGCAAACATGGCTTGCTGTCAGCTTCGTGGTGAGGACACACAGCGGGGTTCAGTTAATGACCAGCTGATGTCACTGCTAAAATAGCAGGTTCCTCCAAACATCAGGCTGAACTCACCAGTTGAACTCGTTGTAGTCATTACGAGCCTCCAACCAGAAGTAGGACCAGACGAGGAGAAGGAGAAACGAACAGCAGAGGAGGAAGAACCATGAACATTCCCACTGAAAAACAAAAACAGGAAGTGATGTAAACACACGTGTCCTCCAGACTAGTGTTGTTTTGAGAAGGGTCTGGCTGCAGCTTGGCGCTTGCACTCTCAGACCTCGCTTTTTCAGACCGATGAGCTTTGTAAAAATCGACACGTTTCAAAAAGGCGGGGCATAGAGGAGAAACAATAATGTACAGTATGTGGAAAATAATGTGTTTTTTTTAACTTTAAACCGCATAAACACATTTCATTACACCAAATAATGTTCTTTTTAGCAGCATCATATGACCCCTTTAATATTTTTCTGGAAAGCATAATACATTTTTTCAGGATTCTTTGATGAATAGAAAGTTCAAAAGAACAGCATTTATTTGATATATACATTTTCCTTATTATTACAGGAGTCTTTACTCTCATTATTGATCAATTTAATGTGTCCTTGTCTAATAAAAGTATTAATTTCCTAAATAAAAAAGAAAGCGTTAAAAATGTACATATCAGAGCTAGTCATTCCACATCACCCAATGTCTCAGATGACCCCTATTCACCCTACATTGGACCACTGATTGACAACTTAACAAATAAAACTGAAAGATGTAATTGCATTATGAATATGAAGACCAATGACTATTATTTCCAACAAAACACAACTCAACATTTGCACTGATTAAGCTTTTCACCAACTCTGAGATTTCAAAGACCACAACAACAGTCATCTGACATGTCTTAAATACAATTCCCAACAATAACAGCTCACGTATAGTTTTCTAGTGATTCCACACACCCTGACAGAGAACTGAATAATGCACGGACTCATGTTTTATTGGTCTGTGGATTGTGGTGGAGTCACTCTACAGTGGAGGACACATTTCACTGTTCTGTTTATTCATTCTGCACAGCTGACAGCTGCTAATCCCTCAATCCCATCAGCTCCTCCAGACCTGCTCATGAGCACATCGGGTAGGACACATCGTCACCCTGCTCTAATTATAGAGTGGGCGGGGCTAGCAGTGATGACACAAAGTTAAGCCAGCCAATGGCAGAGCTTCTGAAGAGTTCGTTCTCAATGCCGAGGTGTTACTTCAGAGAGCCTGTTCAAATGGAAAGATGAACTAATGGCCATGGGTGTGCATGTGTGTGTTCACTCCTGAAGAAGCATTTATAACAACTTGTGGGGAGGTGAAAAGAAAGTACAAAAACCCACAAACTGAATCATCACGAGCTTCAAACTGGATAGAACATGGAAAAGAATAAACAGATCAGAACTGAATACTACAATACTGCTGACTGCACAGTAAAAAGTATATATGGTCTACAATAACAATAATAATAAATTGCTTTAGCAAATATAAATAAATAAATAAACAAAACATTTAAAGCAATGCAGTATGCTAAATTTTTTACCTCAAGTTTCATGTTTGTTTAAATCAGTGAGTGACTTATCATCTCAGACATTAATACACTTAGTTGTCTTTTTTTTTTTACTGAATTTCATATCATATATCTTAACTTTTGGCAGCCCGGTGAAATAATGAGTCAAGAAAGGGTTTGTTTAAAATTGTTGTTTGTTTAAAAATATAGTATGTCAGCAGGCGAGATAAAAAAAATCATTTCAAACAATAGTATGCTATAACTTTTACCTCAGGTTGCATGTTTAAATCAATGAGTCAGTATATCCTTTCAAACATCATTTTAATTTTTGATTTTCTTTTTAACGTTTTTGAATTAAATTTTAGATAAAAAATATCTTAAGCCCAGTCAAATAAGGGGTCAAGACAGAGTTCGTAAAAAATGACAAAATCCCAGCTAATATTACCTACAGTAATATTGTCAAGTTTAAACACACTACAAAAATTACATAATGTATGGAATGCTGAGTTTGAAAAACAAAAACCGAAAATATTAATATATAATTTCTAACACATTTTTTTTTTCCACAGAAAGAAATACAATATCATACAAGACATAATGTACAGGTATGAAAAGTAAACATTCGAAATCAATTATGAAATAATAAAAAAATAATTAAAATTCAATTTTAAGACAACATGTAATCATAATCCTTAATTAGGCATAAAGAAATTCATAATTATTACATTTTATTTATTTATATATATATATATATATATATATATGACACACAAATATGTATAATTAAAATAAACTAAACTAAAAATGCAATTATATTCTATATATTACATTCTGTATAATTTAATGATAGAATTTGAAAATATATAGATACACGCATCACAATAAATTTAATTATAATGAACTAAATAAAAATTATAAAAACTTTGCAACCCTTGAGTGAAACTAAGCTCAATTTTTATAATTAAATCAGCTATTGTTCTATTTATATCAGTGCTATTCTAAACTTCTGAGGATATTGCTACATTTAAGCTTGATACCCTATGAATATTAGAGGACTTTAGGTAAAGATTAGATAAGGGTTGATTTTCAATCTGACTGTGGCTCAGATCAGGCCAGAACATTTGATCGCTGGGCTGGAATGGATGCTCGGTTAAAATAATGGGCATTTCTGCTTGAATAACTTTACTAAATAATGTCAGGATCCAGTTTGGTGTCACCAGACATTGAACTGACAAGTCAAAGAGAGACAGAGAGACCTGACTAAGCCTCTTGCTGTGTTGTATACAGATTGGAATTGACCTACAACACGTCCTCCAGGGAATCTGAAACTCTGGCTTGAGTTTCTCTCTGTCTGATAAAGAGACATTCAGACAGCAGAGGAGAAAGGCTTTTTGCTTCTTCACAGACAGCCAAGTTGTCCTTCGGTTCTGCTGTCTGCCTCAAATGAATACCGAACAAGATATTCATGACCAGACGCTGACAGAAATTACCTGAGAAAGCCATCAGTATCATCAAAGTGGATCCATAACTATAAGCCACAGTGTGGGAATCATAGTTGACAAAAAATGACACTTTTCTAAGCTCAGACTCCTCAGTTATAGTTGGCCACTTATTCAAGCTGTACTCAACTTCCCATCAAAATTAGTGAGTTTTTTTTATTAAAATGTGCTTATAAACTGCTAAATATATAAATAGCGATTACAAGTGATACAGTAACATTAGTGTAAATGACCATAACGTTTCAACATGATTGGTCTGTAACATTTTTAATGTGGAGCTTAGCGAAAAGTCAATGACTCAACAGGTCAGTGTCAATTTTGCCTCTATCATCTTCATTCAGTCTTTATGTGGTTAGAATACAATGGCTTTTCCCACAAAGGATGATGCTGTGGTTACCTTGGAGCTGTCGTCATGGGAGCGTTGGTACCGTTTCCAGCGGCAGCCGTAGATCCCGGTCAAACAGGACAAACACAGTTGTCTCTCATACACCTGTAACGGTTGGTGTTTCACCATAGTCAGGCCACAGCTGATCTGCAGACATCCCACTCACACACCGCAGACCTGCAGAAGCGAGACACATCTGTGAGAAACAACATTATCCATAACGAAACACTGTCTTCAACTAAATTATACTGTCTGTGTTGATACTGCACTGAAAAACCGAGCAAAGGATTTAGGTGTTTAGCTTTGAGTCTGGGAAACTTGCCTTAGGAAAACATACCAGAGAAAATCCTACAGCGCCAGAGAATAAACAATACGTCAGTAATAATTGCAGGAATCTGTAGGTCGACTGTAATGTGACTTAACCACGCCAAGTGAAATACAAAGCAAAAAATCTTTTCATAATCACACCATCAAGGGTAATACAGGAAATGACATCAAACGACAGCTGAAAACAATGGCAACACCACTGACAGCATTTAACAAGACAATGAAATGAAGATTAAATGCAAACAATTATTATATACGTATATATGTTAATGTTGACAATTATTATTTATTTATGTATTTAATTATTTTTCCTTTAGCGGTATCATTGATATTGGATAGTTAATTCTTCATGCTTATTTCACCAATTTTTATATTTAGATTACCTTTGCCATAATCTAAGGCTCACTTAAAGTTAACATTTAAAAACAATAATAATTTAATAACACTGTTAAATGCAATATTAAGCAAATTGCATTCTTTTTTCATTTATTTAGACAAAATAGTAAAAAAAAATTGATAATGACAATATCGGAAGATTTTAGCATGGTAATGGATATGACATTGTTAATGTATTTGGTCTTGGCAGAACAGATCTGCTAAGCTTCTGCTGCTGAATTGCTGCTGCTGTTGGTTATTGCTGTAGTTGTAGATTATTGCTGCTGCTGCTGCAAAGCAAGTACAGGAACTTGCTACTGCAAATACATACGTCGATACGGTGCTGTGAGTATTTAAGACATACAGTACTGCTGCTGCATAAATAGCATAATATAATAACCCATAGCAGGTCTATACAGGTGGAGCTGGGGAAGGTGAAGGGTTTCAGAGGAACTCTGAATGCTAACCAGCCATAATAACCTAAAGCAGCAAGCTTATTGGCTGCGTATGCAATATGAACCAATCAGCGTGTGCCAAGTAGTTTAATGCTGTGAATATCATCAGTTTGCATTAACGACCCATCAGCCTTCGCCATCTAGAGTTTCATGACAGAACTTGACATTAACATTTATTGACCATTTATCGGTTATTGACCATAACACAAAAATAATTATAAGCTTACTTGCATCAAGCAATGTTTAAATAATGGTGCATCTTTACTGGGAAAATTATCAGAATTGTATGTAGACTTTATTTTTCTATTCATCCAAAAGTAGTAAGTACTGGTTATTTTGGACCTACAAATAACTTCAAAATAAAGAAGAATATGCAGTTATGCCACCAACCTGGTCAATCAGATAATATTTAGCTGGACCACTCACAGTTCTTGCCAGTTTTGTGTTTAATTTGCATCTGACAGTCAGTGGATGGTCACTGAACGGTTGAGAGCAGGTCCTACAGGACTCTGTGTGACAGCAGCTCTTTGATTATGAGCTGTGAGACACACATACAGAATTCTAGATTTTCACTCACAGTTCTTGCCAGTTTTGTGTTTAATTTGCATCTGACAGTCAGTGGATGGTCACTGAACGGTTGAGAGCAGGTCCTACAGGACTCTGCGTGACAGCAGCTCTTTGATTATGAGCTGTGAGACACACATACAGAATTCTAGATTTGACAGAATCAGATATTCAGATGCGAACCGACAGCGGCAAAGCGGCCCTCTCTGTCAGTCTGCAGTCATCATATTCCCAAAGTTCAGTTCAGCAGACTGTCAATCACAAACCTTTGAATTTTCTTTAACTACAACTTATGACTCTAAACATGTCAGAATGACTGAGATGGCCAATCAAATTCAAGAATTTTGGCTGATACTGTTTACATGAATTCACGTACAGTAGAACACTTCAGTTTTAGCAGATAAAGATCACAAAGGAAGATGTAAGTAACTAAATATTTAATATCTGACAACTGATTTACAATAGAAATGTTGAAAGACTGACAATAATATCCAGTCATGAAAACTACTCAACTTTTTAGTCAAATGTCACGCTTTTAATTCAAAACCATAGGCTGTCATTTACATGATTCATGGAATTAACAACCAAATGTGACGAGACAAAAAACATTAACAGAGCCATTTTTGGCTTTTAGGCATACATTAAGAGTGAATGTGGAAATTTAAAAAGTGTGTAATTTAAAATAAAAATATTATTTTCAAAAAATTCGAATTAATTGCTTTGAAATAAATTCAAATAATTTTACTGTTCTTCTTTATTCCCTTAAATCCCTTTAAATCCGTTAATTATGTAATTAATAAATAAAAAGACCATTACTGGTAAAACCTGAGGTTATTTTAATCTGAAATTCTTTTGGAATGATGTAAAGGCATAACTGATTTCCCTCAAATGCATAATAAATAAACCCATCACAAACCCATAAGTCAGCCACTGACCCAGCATCACCACACTAGATGCTCCAATAAAAAACAACAGATTTCAATGACAGTAATCAAGGAGGGCTATCAACACCCAGCCAGCACAGATTTGATCTTTGTCCACCAGAAGCACCCACTCAGACAGATTAGCATATCATACATAACTCTCATACACAAACAAGCTACTACGAGTCTTCATTAGTCATTTCCTCAAAAAAATCCTGCTTCATATTCCATAATAATTGTATTCCTTTGACTCATTCGGAACAGACATTAACATATGATCCCTCACAAGCCATCCCATAACCGCAGTTCTTCAAGTCACGATGGATGTGTTACAAATCGGTATGAAAATGCTAAAATGAATGCGTGAGAATATGAAAGCATCTGGGTTTTCTCTTTTCCACACTTCCTGCTGCGCGCGATCAAGACTGGTCTAACCCCTTTAGTATCGGTGATTAGATTAGATGTACTGTCCTTTGTTGGGTTTTGCGTACAGCACTTAGACAATGTCTACAGGTCTGCAACGCACCGGTTAAATCATTCACATGCATCCTGTGTTCACCTACAAAAAGACAATATTGCATCAAACAAAAGAAGTCATTATCTCCTTCTGACATGTCTTCCTGTTGAAAACGACCCTGTCTGAGTGAGTTAACACTCTGGTATGACCGTTTAACTGAGGCAGAGCACACACACACACAAACAAACACGGACCTGATGTCAACATCACATCTGTTGCCCTATTAGTGAAGTGACAGTTCAGACAAAAATGAAATATGAAAACTCTTTCATCCTTTACTCACCCTGAAGATATTGACGAATGTAGGTGCACCAACAACAAGCGGATCCCACTGACTTACATTGTGACATTTATCATAATTTTTTTGTGAACTCTCTAAGTGTATCTGCATGAACTTCAGATACATTCAGAGGGTGTTATTCTCAGCTGGAAAGTAACTGTACTTAAGTTCATTCCCAACTTCAATAGGGTATTGAGAGGCTGAGGAAGCTTTACACCTGGGGAGTTCAGTGTAAATATACTTATATACTGATAAACAACAGAGACATTTATAATGTTACAAAACATTTCAAATAAATACTGTTCTTTTGAAGTTTCTATTCATCAACTGTACCATGGTTTCTACAAAATTCTGAAGCATCACAAATGTTTTCAGCATTAATAATGATAATAAATGTTTCGTGAGCAAATCAGCATATTAGAATGATTTCTGAAGGATCATGTGACACTGAAGACTGGAGTAATGATGCTGAAAATTCAGCTTTACATAACAGGAATAAATAACATTTTAAATTGTATTAAACATTATTAAGCATTTATTTTAAATAGTAATAATAGTTATTAATATTAATGAATATATTAATTAATATTTACAATATTGCTGTTTTTACTTATTTCTGAGCATATGAATGCAACCTTTGTGTGCTTAAAAAAAAAACATTTTTAGGTAGTGTATAGTGTAAGTGTGTGTGTACGCAGCTGTGTTGGTGTGGGGATTCATGCTCCAACCTGTTTCCATGGCACTGAGCTTTAAAGACTTACAAAAGCCTGAATTCTCTGAAATCAGGAGAGTAAATTGAGTCTGCTGCTTAGAGCCTTATTCCCGCCAGCTCTAACTCCAGACCTTCTTGCCCTTCCACGGCTGTTGGACTTTCCAAACAGGTACGATTGCCAGAAACAGTAAGCTATTGTCTGCTTAATTTCCTGCCTCACTCCAGACCGTCCCCTCAAGTGACCAGTGGGCCAAATGCAATGGTCTTTTTCAGCAGCCTTGGGTCTTGAAGTGCTTTCCCCCATTCCTTTTCTACGTGCATCTTTAAGTCAGATTTATAAGCCAAGAATCAAACCAACTTGCTCAGAGATGAATTAACCACAAAATTACAAACTTTGATTTAAAATAAAAAGTGTTTGAAACCTGAACAGTGCATGAAGCATTGCAAAATCCATGACTGAATAAAAAAGACAATATAAAATTACTGACTTAGTCATTGATTGAAGAATACAATACATTATTTTGTAAGTTTATAAAATATAACATTTCAATACTGTAAAAAATGCAACAATTCAACATTTTTAAATGTTCTTAAAATGCATTGCTAAATATTCAAATATGTTGTTGTTTAATGCAAGTTGTTTGCGAGTATACAGACTGACTTGTTTATGTCATTTGCATTGCTTCATGCAAGTGGGAGGAAGCTGCGGAGCTCTTTTGGCGCAGTTATTTCCATGGTAACAGCGAATTCTCTAATTACTGGATCCAAAAGGAATCACTCCTCAAGATTTTGAGTAATGTATTTTTTTTCCCAATGGGAATATTAAACAACTTGAAATGAAGAAATCAAGCTGTCACTTCAAGATAAACACAATTATTTAACAGTCTCTGAGCTCATGGAAGGTTTGTCTTGAAAGGTTTTGACATTATCATTAAAATTATTTCTCTATTGAAAAAATGATTTGGACTTCTAAAATCTAAAATATGTGAAAAATTATTCATCATCATCTACTCCACCATTCAAAACTTTGGGGTCAAGATTAACTTTTTTAATGAAATTAATGATATCATTAATTTTAAATTGATCAAAAGTGTCAGTAAAGACATTTCTATTTCCAATAAATGCTGTTCTTTAAAACTTTCTATTAATCAACGAATCATGAAAACAATGTTTCACAGTTTGGACAAAAATAAATGTTCTTTGAGCAGCAACACAGCCTATTAGATTGATTTCTGACGGATGTAATGGCTGCTGAAAATTCAGCTTTGCATCACAGAAATAAATTTCATCTTAAAATATATTAAATTAGAAAACAGTTATTTTAAATGGTAATAATATTTCACTACATTACAGTTTTTACTGTATTTTTTGATCAAATAAATTCAGCCTTGGTAAGCATAAGAGACTTGCTTCAAAACAATTTAAAAATCTTACAGACCCCACACTTTAAAACGGCAACACTTTCTATTCAGCAATTTGGATGGCTAACATCTGACTGAGACATCCAACCTTGAAATAACACTACTTTCAGACACTTCAGAGCAGCATGTGCACAAACATACTAATTGTTCATTCCTGATGGGATTTTACAGAGAACTAATGGCTAATGGCTAGTGTCCAGTTCAGAAGCCTTGCCAAACGAGTTGGGGAACAGGGGGTCAAGCGTCTACCGGGAAAACAAATTATCACCAACATCTCTACTAGTGATGATCACTTCAGGATTAACTGGATTTAGAAAATATTATATATATATATAATATTTAGAAAATAATTTTAAAATATATAATAATAATATGTATAATGTCATAAGTATAATAAAATATAATCTCTTAATATAAAAATAATTAAAAAAATTTGAGCAAAAAAAAAAGATAAATGATGACTACATCGCGTATCATTGCACATTACAAATCATGAAAAAAAAAATTAAAAGAGCAACAGGAACATTCTGCAAAATATCTCCTATGCTTTTCACAGAAGTCATGCATGTTTGGAAAAAGCATAATAAAGGTGAGTAAATGATGCTAAAATGACAACAATGTGACAACAACACTTGGGATGCGACAATACTGTATGTTTTCCAATTACAAACAGCTAATTTCTTCAACGTTCCTCACTCAGATTTCGGGTCCAGAAACTCTCATTAACTCCAGAATGACATTAACAAAAAAATGAACGCTGTTTCTATTCAAGGATTCATGCATGATTCAAAAGACTTAAAATAGAGAGACATTTAGTCATTGTACAGCTTCTGATTAGGCAGTTAAGAACAGCTGTGACATATTGAGGAATGAGTAAAACGACTTTGGGAAGTTTCTGTGGGAAATCATCCAAAAGATCTGATGGATCCACCACAGGGAGGAAGGTTTACTTTCCCAGGGATGAAACAAGCCCTTTGTGTTCTCACTCCTCTGGTGGGGCCTCTGTGGATTTTTCTGAGATAATGTGAGCAAAGACAACCTCGTTTATCTCTCTTCATATGCTGCTTTTGTTTTGGCACCTTCTCACAGGCTCTGAGAAACAACAATCTCATAGTTTGGATGCTAAACATTGGTTGTTGCGAAGAGCTCATAATGACGGTACCTGACGTAGATGTCATAGCACGAGCGAAATATGATACGTAGACCGTATTTGTGCCTCAGCATTACTGCTGACACCAGAATAAAAGGTGAATTCAGGCAATAATCTCTCAGGAGACGTGGCTTGTTATGAACAAGTCTACAGGCAGAGCTTTGGTCTGGAGAAGATGAAAGCCATCAACATCCAACACCCTCCGTCTGGTAGTTCCCGTCTTTTGCAAAACTTTTCCATTTTGCCCTGCTGTTAGTCTTTTCTCTCTCAGACGTTTCCTGAGGAGCGGTCTGCACCACTTCCCGCAACATTCAGCCCAAAACTTCTGAAGCTTAAGAGAAATGCTCCGCTCTCGTGAGATTCTGGCAGCACCATAAACAACTGGCAACCCATAAGCCACTGAGAATATGAGGGGAATGAGACCCAAAATTAAAGATTGAGATGCTGATGGTGGAGACCTGGGCTAGATGTCACAAAAACTAGTAATTTATGAAGTCAAAAAGTCTGTTTTCAGCAGTGATTTTTGATTTGAACACCATCAAGGTGTTAAACGGCTAATTCAAACCATTTATTAATTAAAATAATTTTAGTCAATTTTGTCTGCCTTAAATATCAATATTAACATTGTTTTCTATAGCTTCTGGGCAAAAATTTAACAGAATAAAACTACACTAGCATACATTCAAACAAGAGTTAACTATAACTAGTTAACTGTATAGTCAAGGTAGAACTGGGAAGGACAAGTATTTTTCATAAATATGTATGTCACATGGGTTTAAAAATCAGAAATGTATTTTCTTTAATTTGTTCATTTGTTTTAATTTGTTTATTAATTTTGCTGTTTTATTTTCTTCAAATTCCCTGCTTTGCATATAATATTAAAACATATATTAACAAATAAAACATATTAACTTAGAAATTTATTAATGTGTAAATTACAATATTTGTATACAATATTTTCATGCTTTAAAAATGTTTTATTGCTGATATTTTGCTGACATATTTACAATAGGTATATTCTATTGTGACAACCCCATAAAATGTGACAACATGCCCCACTTTAGTATAAAAACTGACAACTTGCCACCTCTGCTGCTGTAATCAGATCATATACATTGAGTATTTATAACTTAAGGTGAAGAGTAATTGTTAGAACAGACTTACATAATGAAGCTTTTCCCAAAAACATTTGTACCGCAATATGTATGAATATATAATTCAAAAGCATGAAATATAGCACGGTACTGCCATCTAATATTGTACAGTCATACTTTCATAAGGGAACTCAGTTCTATCAAGACTAAAAGAAGTTTTAGATCAACGAAAGTGGCATAGTTTACTTATTGCATATATATGTGTCAATAAAAACAAATGAAAAGGACTCTAAACGTAGTACATATGCACGTGATGGTAAACATGCTTAAGTACAGGCTACTTATCCAGACTCACCTTCTCGTCGGCAAGGTGATCAGCGCAGGTACTTGAGTTATTTTTCTCCAGGTTTCTCCTCTTAAACTTGTGTTGTAGTTTGTCTTTTTCTTTCTTTAGATGTTAAACAGACATTCAGCACTCTCAACTTATCAAGGTATAGGATATTATTGGAATTAAACTACAAACTAAGTTCCGTCAGTGCGCGGTGTTTCAAATTCAGTCTGCCTGACACGATCACCAGCGACGGTTTATATGATTTATGTCGATATAACGTGTTTTCACGTTGTGTTTGGAGGATTATGATTCACCGAAGACATTCAGTGAGTAAATCCATCCGATCCGAAAGCCCGGGGAGGAGCTGCGCGTCTCCATCTCCTCCTCTTCCTCCTCCTCTTGATCAAGCGTCGTCAGCGCCACAGTAGCTAGCTATACGTGATTAGTGTAGCATTTAAGTTCATAAACGTATATATATTAAGTTTAAACTTCGATTAAGTAGGTTACTAGTTTAAAATTAAATTCAAATAAAAAAATAAATAAAAAAAGATTTTCAGCTCCAACTTCCTCGGTGACTCGAATCTTTTGAATTTGTTCACTAAAGTGATTCATTTGTGGTCCTAGCTTTTCCAGGAAGATTTGTTCACTTTAAAGATTCTAAAGATCATTCACGAACAAATCGGGTTAGGCCTACTTTTGTTTTACAAATGATCACGGTTACTTTTCAGTTGCTTATTGGTTGGAATGATAATAATTGGCTTCTAAAATCTTCTAAAAACCATATAATGGTTGCTGTGTCTTTTGTGAAGCAGTGTTTGGCGAGGCCACCTCTTGTCAAGCACAGCGGCTACTTATCCAAACCGCAGGCAGAGAGCAGAGCAGAGCATCCACTGCTGCTATTCCAGCATGCCAGTGAGAGATTAACCTCTGGCCTGAGCCAAGCTTGCATCACATCCTTATCTTTAACAACCTACTGGTGGAATGAGGCTGTCCTTCAGCAAGCATGACTTTGAGTGAGACTCACTAGCCAGACACAGCTGTACGGGTCACATCATGTGTATTTGTTGTGGTGTTTTCTGATGTGCTGAGATGTCAGGATGATTGTTCTGCTCATATCAGCTCTAGTCTGCTAGAATATATGCAAATCCACATTTGAAGGGCTTGAAAGGACAGGAACATACATTCAGGAACAATGATTGCTGTCTTAAGAAAAAATAAAATGAATACAAAATATTTTAAATTATAATTAATAATCAAAAAATGATTAAATAATGTATTAATGATAGGTATGATGGAATATTATATATAGGCCTAATCATTTTACATGAAAAGCATTCTGTCATTTCCCCAGTGTTTACTGTGTATATTACTGTGTGAGGATAGGACAATATTTGGATGAGATGGAATTCTTTGAGGGTGCAAAGAATCAAAATATTGAGAAAATCGCCTTTAAAGTTGTCCAAATGAAGTTCTTAGCAATGCATATTACTAATCAAAAATTAAGTTTTGATATATTTACAGTAGGAAATTTACAAAATATCTTCATGGAACATGATCTTTACTTAATATCCTAATGATTTTTGGCATAAAAGAAAAATCTATAAGTTTGACCAATACAATGTATTGTTGGCTGTTGCTATAAATATACCCCAGTGACTTAAGACTGGTTTTGTGGTCCAGGGTCACAAATAGAAATAGCAAGGGCCCATTATAAAATAGAATAGAATAAAAAATATTATAATTGTATTTATTATAATCATTAAATATTGGAATGGCATCATTTTACATTTATTTATCTATCAAAAAGAAACATTGATTTATTTGTTCCAAACTTTTCATTGAGCTCATCATGTTTGCTATTTCCGAATAATTATTACAGAAAGAGCTAACAGGTCATATGTTTTATATCTTTTAAACTATAATAATAGAATAGAATAGAATTTCACATATTCTAATAATTTTACATGTTACATTTATTTATAAAAAATAAATAATCATTTGTTAATTCCAATGCTTTTATTATAAAATATCTCTGTAGGGAAGAAACCAGTTCCAAACCTCCACGGCAGATTTAGTTTTTAGACGTGTGAATCTAGCAGCACCTAGTGGACACATTTGTAGTTGCAGGAACATGCAGTCAAACACACACACAACACGCACACACTGCAAAAAAAAAAAAAAAAAAAGTGAGCTGCCATTTTCATACTTTTCCACAAGAAGGCGCCCTCATATGTATCTGATGCTTTTAAAACTACCACATTATTTTTTTTTTTAATTCTCTCTCACATCTAGTAAAAGATCGTGGTGTGCTCACAAAATAAGCATTTTTCTTGATGGGGTCTTCAGAACAGATTAATGTGATGTAGAAAATGTTTCTTTTAGCTTAAGCTACTTAATTACTGTAAGACGATATAGTGTTTACCATGGTCACAAAAGAGTAGCTTCCAATGACTGCTTACAGAAATTTTAAATGTAGGAGTATACTGTTGTCAACATTAAGGTAGTAGAAGAGTACAAGACACTGTTTTAGTTTACAGTTTAGACACACACCAGACACCACCACCACCACCACAGCGTAGTGATAATATCTGCTCTGCCTCCAAAGCACAAAGAGCAGACAACATTTAAAACCCGTTCAGAGCTAAATTCCTTTGCCTTCTAAGTCACGGAAGAGTTAGCAATAGCTGGGCAGGTTTCCACTGATCTGATATTAGTCATAAAGACTAGACATTCATTCATAATGTGAAATATCCCACCAACAGACATATTGAAGTTACAACCAACAGAAACGCAACCGCAATGTCAGATCAGATTCACATTTAGTCAAAATAAAGGCTGGTTTTGATTAAAATATAGAATATAGGACTTTGGCAGGCCGGCCACTGGTAATAAGTTATTTATGGATATGTGGATGTAAACAGGACGACAGGAAGAGCATCCTGTCATTTCCCCAGTGCTCATTGTGTATATATACATATGCATTTTACATTATTGTTATATAGACATACCGTTCAAACATTTGAAGTCAGTAAGTTTTTCTTAAGAAATTAATATTAATACTCGTAATATTCAGCAAGGACTCATTAAACTGATAATTTATGTTGTAATACATTTTTAAACATTTCATAAATAATATAAAACAATATAATACAATGATTTTATATATTATAGCCCATTAATTTTTAGTTTCTAATAAATTCTTTTTTAACTTTTTATCAGAAAAGAATCCTAAAAAAGTATTGATACCTTAAGCAATACTTCGTTACAGGTGTGAAGAGAAGATAAGTAAATAAAAGGGCAGAAATGTGGTTGTTTCAGGATCTACAGTGATGAAATAACTCTCTCACTTTCCCTTTTGTTCACGGCAGTTAATCAGTGACGGTCAGTCTGGGTTAAACCTCAAGCTATGTGGATCTAACAACATGACGAAACACATTAAGCAGCAAATCAGAAAAGAAACCCTGACAACTGAAGCGAGCAGCATTCTTTCAACATTCTGATGCCGGAGGAATGCCAGCGCCATCAGCAGCATTTTCACGGATCTTTACAAACTGGCCTGGAGGTGTGTACTTTGAAATCTGTGCTGTTAATGGTTTGTATCTTTGAAGAGTGTCAAGTTGGATGTTAATGAGGAACAGCCCATTCAGCCTACATGCAGCTAATGAGACCTGTTTCATCACATCTCAACATGTCAGAAACTAGATATACAAACAAATGTTGAAAAATGATTTTAATATACAAAACTTGAACATATTTTATAAAATTCTTCCAAACCAAATTACCTGAGATCTGCTATTCACATTATAACTCCATACTGCACTCTTACTGCATGCTAACAGTTGTCAGATTTTTTTTGTTTTTTTTTGTTTCTCCTTAGGAAAAAAATTACAAAAATAAATATATTTTGTAATACCTCTCTAAATTTTGTAAGATTTAATCTTAAAACAAATGAAACAAAAATATAGTGCTTGAAGAAAAATATACTTTTATTCGTAGACTTGTAATTAGCTTAAGCAATGGTTTGAAGTTAAAAATATCTTAATAATGGATTTGTTTCTTACAAATATGTAGCTTTTCACCTCTCAAAACATTAATTGGTGGGCTGGAGGCATGTAGATTATTGTTCTGTTTTTATAATGTATCAATGTAACATTATTTACAATAATGTTTGAACTCTCATTCTGACGGCACCCATTCACTGCAGAGGATCCAATGGGTGACCAAGTCATGTAATGCATTAAGACATGTTTTGGCAGCACTGAGAGAAGGACACTTGTATGAAACATTACTGAGACCGTTCTAAGTCTCCTGAGCTTTAAAAGAGCAAGCAATAAAATGTTCCTCTGGGATTCTTCATGCATTCCAGTGCTTCATGTTTGTACAACAAGATTCCTAGTGCTATATAAAGAAAAGGAAGATACATAGCATATTAGTGCATAAAGAATGTCTAATTTGTTTTTTTATGAGAACGTATAGAAACCAGAATGCATGCTTTATACCCAACTAGACAGATAAAACCTCTGTTTTGTCTGCTGTCGCTTGCAGGCCAAGACACGACCCACTAAAACGTGGCACACAGAAGAGAGAGGGAGGAGAGATGGATAGGGTGGGGGTGGAAGTAGAACAATGTCTAAACTTCTTATTTTTACCATTACTTTTATAATGTACTTTGCATTTTCTGAACAAATTATGAAAATAATAATAAAAGATAATATATAAAATGTCATTTTAAAAATGAAGTATTAACACCAGGTTTTAGACTAAATGAGTTTACTTCTTACTAGGATGTTTTAATCATAATGTCAATCAGTAAATCCAGATTTCTGAATTACATCCACCTTTTTTCATACTCACCATTTTCTTTGCATGAAAAAGCACTTCAGTTTAGCCATTGTGTGAGTGTGTAAGCAGGAAAGGGGGCAGTTCCTGCTGCCTTTAGGACCTTGAGGAGAGAGTCCAGTTCCCACAGTAACTGGATCTGGGGGAGGTCTCACAGAAAAACGGGAACCATTATAATACTCCTTTCCCAACTTCCAGAAGTTTCTTTTCCAGACTATAAAGTCTGCATGAAGGATTTGGTGTCAGGGGAAGCCGACAGATCCGAGAGGCTGCAGAAGTTTTTGGGAGCTCTGAGAGGTGAGTAACAGATGCCGTTACAGCTGTGAAAACAAATGTTGCATTCAGGCTTCATCGGCAGTATGAAAAATGTAAAAAAATCTGTGGTATTCCATAACAGAATCCTTCATTTTAAATTTTGAAATGTAAAACAGAAGCTTGTATGAGACATTGTAACTTTTAAAGTTGTACTCAAAGGTGAAAAGATGCTTATAAACAGCTACTGTAAGTGCTTTCATTTACCGTGTTTGTGTGATGATTCAGAAGGTTTCTGGCATACACCACAGTTCCAAATGTTCTCCATTGCTCCTTCAGGCTCTGACGTGTAGGCATAACAAAAGGTCATTCATTGAGAGGGTGCGGGGTATGGTGCATTTTGCACGGCCGAAGGCAACATTTTGGGCCGTTCACTGGTGAGGGGTGGGGAAAAGCTGCACAAACCGTCTGAAGTCTGCTGTTCCCACACTAGTGTTAGAACTTCCTGCCATCCTGGCAGTGCTGATTGGACAATGGTTATCCGGCGTAAGATGACTCTGGGAGCCATGAAATCTGTATATGTGGCTGCATAGCTTTTTTCCATGAAAAGTTATGTGATATTATACGCAGCTGTTTAAAAGTTTGGGGGTCAGCACAATGTTTTTTTTTTTGAAAGAAAATATATTTTTATTCAGCAAGGATTCATTAAATTGATCAAAAGAGACAGTAAAGACATTTATAATGTTACAAAAGATTTCTATACCAAATAAATGCTGTTCAACTTTATATTTAACAAATGTTGATAATAATAAATGTTTCTTGAGTATCAAATCAGCATATTAGAATGATTTCTGAAGGATCATGTGAGTAATGATGCTGAAAATTCAGCTTTGCCATCAGAAAAATACAGAAAAGAGTTATTACTGGTTTTACTGTATTTTTGATCAAATAAATGCAGCTTTGGTGAGCATAAGATACTTCTTTCAAAAACATTGACAAATCTTACCAACCCCAAGCATTTAAATGGTAGTGCAAACAGTTGAAACATTCTTAAACATATATTTTTATGTTCAGCAAGGAGTAAACAAAAATATGTTATGATAAAGAGAGCTTAGTGAGGTTACAGCTGTGCACGTGGCAGTTATGTAACATTACTGCCTTAAATGTCTGCTTGACTTCCTTTAGCATAGCAGGCCTGCCATTAAAGGCTATGGGAATTTAAAATTACAGCTCTAATATATCTTGGCGCTACTCTCAGTTCTGTGGTCAGGAACACAGTCTACAGCTCTGCACATAAAGAAAACCATCTCATATTTATCTAAAATAACTGACTAAACCTTTCTACCGTAATAGGCTGTAAACTTACCACCTCCGAAATCATGTTGGTGTCAAGCGTGGTTCTCCTGTGCTTACTGGCTACTGTGAGCGGGGGCAAGACCCTCAGCAGCCATGCCTCCATCCTGGCAGACAACAGCGCCAATTTGGCCTTCAGCCTGTACCACAAACTGGCAAAAGAGAAGGACATCGAGAACATCCTGATTTCCCCTGTGGTTGTGGCCTCCTCGTTGGGTTTGGTGGCTCTTGGAGGGAAATCCAACACTGCTTCTCAGGTCAAAACCGTCCTGAGCGCCACTACGGTGAAGGATGAGCAGCTGCACTCTGGGCTGTCGGAGCTTCTCACTGAGGTCAGTAACTCAACAGCACGTAATGTCACCTGGAAGATCAGCAACCGTTTGTACGGGCCCAGCTCTGTGAGCTTCGTCGACAACTTTCTGAAGAGCAGCAAGAAGCATTATAACTATGAGCACTCCAAAATAAACTTCCGTGACAAGCGCAGTGCGGTGAAGGCCATCAATGCATGGGCATCAAAGTCCACCGATGGCAAGCTGCCCGAGGTGACCAAAGATGTGGAGAAGACAGATGGAGCCATGATCATCAATGCCATGTTTTATAAACGTAAGTCTTGGACACCTTTAGAATTAAGAGCAATTTGTAGATTCTTTAACTAATATGTTGCTCTGTTTTCTCTCCAGCACACTGGGATGAGCAGTTCCATCATAAGATGGTGGATAATCGTGGTTTCTTAGTGCATCGCTCCTACACCGTCTCTGTACCCATGATGCATCGCACAGGTGAGGCCATGGTTAAAGCAGATGTGATTCCTGAAACAAAAAATGATGTGTAGCTTAGCGGTTCGTTATTGAGGAATTTTTGTTTGTTTGTTTAAGTTTTCATTAGAAATGAATTATTGGGACAGTAGTAGTGTTAAAGGGTTCATATGATGTTGCTAAAAATAACATTATTTTGTGTATTTGGTGTAATGAAATGTGTTTATGCGGTTTAAGGTTAAAAAAACATTATTTTCCACATACTGTACATTATTGTTTCTCCTCTATGCCTCGCCTTTCTGAAACGCGTCGATTTTTACAAAGCTCATCGGTCTGAAAAGC